CAGTCCTTCATCACCTTAGACAAAATAGGGTGAATACATCTCATTATACTGATTTACTGGTAGTCTCGAAAACCTACTCTCATAAGAAAATTATTATGAATTAGCCAATGAGCATCTTCTATTTATTTCTTCTCTCATGATCTCTCATCGTGGTACATTATCCGACATTCATATTTTCTAAAACAAATTATTCGAAGAAAAGGATTAGGTAAGATTGAATCTTTCTTATTATTATATGGCAGCCCAGGATACCACGGTAACAAGAGCTCTCATTTTATCGGAATATGCAAGATTAACAAATATTTAGGATTCTGCTTACTTTATAAATAGTAGGAAAGTCATTATAAAACTGCAAGTAAGCAGAGTATGCATACGATTAAACGACGGAGGGAGTATGCGTGTTCATGGCTGGGGAATCCGTCAATGGTTGAATAAACTTACTTAGAATTGAGATTTAAGCCAAAATATCAAGTGTCAAAAAGTAAGATGGAAAAATTCGATATAAGATCCTCAGCAGTCTTGGTGAAGATAATTCTGTCAAATGTTGCATCCTTACCATACAATAATTTTATCGTTCTTACCTGATTTCCAATCTTATGTCCTTTAGTTATTCGAATGAATTCGAAAAGATAATCAAATTATACCCAATTTATGTACAAGGGTTGGAAGAAGAGACAGGTCTTAGTCAGATTACAGGAGGAATTGGGGCTAAATAAATTGCAATCAGACCGATGCACAAGCTTACGATGACAAAAAAGAGAAACTTTACAAATGGTGTACATAATAACCAACTAGAGTTCCAGCTAGATTTTCCATTTTCTATATTTTCTTTCTCCTCGTAATCCGTGGCAGAATACGAGCTAGTGTTAAAATCTTGTGGTAGAGGACTAATGTCCAACAATTTAGTGATATCTCCTGGAGGGATCGTGGCGCTAGTTTCAGCAGTAGCAGTAGTATCTTTGGCGACAATACATGAGTCCGCTTTCATCGGCTCTGGGTGTCTGTTAGTTACCATAAGCTGGCTGCCTACCGTCTGTGCGGCATAGGCTT